GGGCGGCCAGCTGGCCCGGCTCGGGGGACGGGGACGGGCCGCGCGTGCATCGCCTGGCATCAGTGTGTGTGTGTGTGTGTGTGTGTCCATGTCCGTGTTGTATGTGCCAACCACCAGTGTCCATGCAACACACGTATGGCCATATGCACAGACCGCTGTCCGCGTCTGTGTTGTGTGGCGTGTGTCCCCGTGTGTGTATTGCAGACCCCAGCATGCGTGTCCTCCACCCGTGTGCCTGCCTGCATATCCCTCATCCTCGTCCCCTGGTCCTTTCTTGTTGAAAGCGCCCCGTCACGTGGCCGGAGCAGGTAAATTCACGGCTTCCCGGGGTTTGCCTTCACACGCAGCAGCAGGCACCTGGGGGTGCCTCCCCCACCCACGGCTTCTCCTCGGCCCCCCACCTCCGCCTTGCTTGAGCAGGAGCTGCCAGCAGAAGGTTCTGGCAGAAAGGGGAAATCCCTGAAGCAATTGAAACAGCCGAAGCTTTGGATGCACTTCTCTTCCCCCCTCCTTTTTGTCACATGTGATCGATTCTTTGAACCGGCCTAAGCATGTTGAGGAAAAAACCTCAGCTTGCCAGTCCTGCTTATCTGCGGACTTCCACCTGCTGTCCGTGGGAATGAGCATTGCCCTGTTTCTTCGTATCCCTATCTTGTGGGCACCGCTATGTGAGGTAGGCATGCTCCGGCTTCAGGTCAGCTCATTTGAGTGTTCTCAGTGGGGTAGACCTGGCTGCAGGCTGGAAAGCCCGCCTGAGAAGCAGGATAAATGCTTGGTCAGTCAGCACATGCTGCCTTTGGTGCTGCGGCAAGATTGCTACTCAGGTTTTTAATGCGTAGCATGATGGTGAGAAGAAGCAGAGAGTCCACCCTGAAATGGGTGGGTGGGAAGAAAGATAGAGATGTTTTAAAAATATGCTGTGGTGCATGTTTAGTAGTGGTGCACTGATATATTGGTTGCCTGTCGGATCGGCACTGATAAAAAGGAAAATAACGTTATCAGCTTCTTTTGGCCCTTGTAGCTGATAATGTTTACTGATAATTATGCCTTCTGGCCAAGGTCCTAGACACCTGGGTTCCCACTCTTCCATGGGGCTGGGGCCCCTGGATGCCTGGGTTCCCTTGGGAAATGGTAGGCAGCTTTCTACCCTGCAAGGGGTCCTGTTTGGGGTTGTCATCTGCATGTGTGGCCACATGCATACGTGTGGCTAGGAATACAGATGGGCAGCGTGGAGAGAAGGTCTCTGCAGGTAAGTATGTGGAGGGGAAGGGGCATGGAGGAGGGAAGGGGTGTGGGGGGGGGTGCAGATCAAGGCCCCTGTGGTGAGTGAGTGAGACGGGGTCTGCGGGTATTGCCCAGCCAAGGTGGTGCATGGGGCCGGGAATGGGACAACCACAGGCTGGTCGTCCAGGGGGTGCGGCTCCCCTTGGAGGAGGCATGGGAGGGGTATGTGCCCCTTTGGATTTGTGCGCGGGGCGGATGTGGGCTGCTCGCTGTGGACTCTGGGCTCTCAGCTCTGCTGTCTTTGCCCCAGGAACCCACACAGGCTGCATGCCCCTTGCCCACCTGGCAGCAGTTGGGGGTGGTGAGTTGTGTCCCCCACTGCCAGGCATGTGGCTGGCGCCGGGCTCCTGGGGCAAAGGCAGCAAGAGCCCCAAGCCTGCAGCAGGCAGCCAGCATCTGCCCTTGCCTTGCTTGGCTCTGCTCCACTTAAAAGCATCCCTGCGCTTAAAAATAGTGGTGGCAGCACGTGAACTAAAGCTCATTCAATGAGCTTTAGTTCAAGTTCCCCTCCCACCAGTGTTAAGCATTGGATGCTGATACATGCAACTCAGGAGGCTGCTGGAGCACACCAAAGAGAAAAAAAGGTTTATTTATGTCAGTGCTTTAAAGTGTCTTGCATTTTAAAGTAAATCAATTATTGGATCGGCATTGGCCAATATGGTTGGTTAATAATCAGCTATCAGTATCAGCCAAGAAAATCTTTATTGGTGCACCCCTAGTGTTTATTTTTCCATCACACTTAACAGCATTAGCATTTAAGTAGTCTCTCCCACTGCTTGGAAGTTTACTGAAAATTGAATTCCAAGTGAGGAATAAAGGTCAGCGCTTTGCAGTTGGTACAATTGTCTTTTGGCTGGAACCTTGTCCTGTTACGCTCCCCTTGCACCAGGAAAAGAGCAGCTGAGAAGCTTTATGAAGGTTTATTTTTCATAATGGAAAGAAATGATTTTTCCTCCTTACATTTCTACAAGATTCTGTAGAAAAGGACAATAGCAGGAGATGCTGCAATTGTAGGGTTTCAACATGTTAATGTTCAGTTTTCCAGTTCAAAGGGATATAATTAGATCAAGCCAGTTTGCTTTTCTCTCTCCTTAGGCCTTGTCTACATGAGGAAGTCTGTGCCCCCCCCCCCCCCCCCCCCCCAGTTGTATATTTGCATTCATATCATTATAGCAAAAATTCCCATATGGATGCTCTTATTCCAATATAAAATAGCTTTTCTTGGTTTAGGTTGTGTGTGTTGGGAAAGGGTTTAAATTACCTGGTCACGCTTTTCCCCTCCTGTTTGAGCATGGATTCCTGAAGAAGTGATGGCTGAACTGCCATAATGATTTCATCTGCATCACAGCATTATCTTCTCTTATACAAGGGGAAATGGAGTAGAACAGCTCTTGTGGAATAAGCTGTTCTGCAATTGCTCCCTGCGTGGACACGCTATTCTAAGACTTAAATCCAAGTCTCTGTCCAGGGAGCTATTCTGGAATCGTTTATTTTGCAATAGTTATTTCCCCTCAATTTCCCCTGTGTAGCTAGCCCAAAGGAAAAAAGAATAATAATAACCAACCCCTTAGTTACTGTAACTGTGGAGCCTTTTTAAAAAAGATAATTTCACTTTCATATGTGTTTAATAATGCATTTATCTGTAAAGCTTAAGGTATTAAGAAAAAGACTATTCAAGATGTTCTTAACTCTTCTGGAATCTTGCATGTAAATGAAATTCAGTGTATTGCTTGCACCAGTATGTGATGCGAGAATGAGATGCACTGAAATTTATTAGGAATATCTGGGCAATTGACAAAAGGAAATTTCCTTAAATAGGTGGTAGTCCCTGTGCAGTTGGATCTGTAATTAGTGTCTACTGCTCTCTAATGCCCAGAAGAATGAATGCTTATGAACTGTTTTAAGAATTCACAAAATATGTTTGTTATATTTAGAAGTTGCAGGAAGATGAGATTGAAAGTCGGGGTAAGTAAAGGGGTACACACCATGGTGTAGTGGAAGACAGGAATTCCTTATGTCATTTAAACCAAAAGCTGTAGGCCACATTCTTTTGCTATTCCTAAAGCTGGGATGCATTAAAATGGCTTAGGCAGACAAGGTTCCTTGGGTGACTTTGATATCTTTTATTAGACCAACCCAAATGGTTGGAGAATAGTTATTAAGCAAGCTTTTGGGTTCAAAAACCCTTCGTCAGGCTCAGGAAGTTTCAGCAGTTGGTGTGTGCTCTTCCTGGATGGAATGAAAAGTAAAGAAGCCAGGGGCTGGGCTGGGGAGTCAAAAATGGCTTTTTCACTTATTGTATATTGCATATAATATTGCTGTCATTATTGTGGGGCACTTTTCCTACAGAAAGAGGAAAAGGGTGGTTAAAGGCTTATTACAACTCCAGCCTGATTCTGGGGAATGGGGTTGAAACCCTAGCATGATTAGGTTATTTACAGACTTTAGGGAGCAAACAAGTCATTTTAGATTTCTGCACACCTTCCATATCATGGCAAGGAGTTAACTAAGCATCTATCTTTGGACATCTAGATGCTGTAGAAAAACAAATCACTCTGTAATTTCTTATATTTGCCACCCTTTTAAGGAATGAGTCTAAACTGTCAATTTACTGCCATGAGAAGTTGGCCAAAAGAAGAAGAAAAGCACACTGCAAGAGGGTTCAGGGTTTTAAAACCTCACCTCTGCATGAGATTGCATTTTGCCACCTGCAAACTTTATGGTTTTACTGACATGATGCACACAAATGGGTCTCATGCTCTAGTTTTATTCCATGTACTAAAATGTATTTTTCAGCTTCGTTGTCAAGTATAATAGCAAGCATTCATATGATATCAAAATGCACTCATCCCTTTGCAGGACATGGCAGTCCCTTATTCTGTCCTTCGAAGCTTACCATCTAAATATGTGCTCTTAAAGAACTTGAGGTGTTTTTCTTTGCTGAATTTTGTCATCTGTCTGGCTAATGTTGAGTCATTTTTTTTGTTCTGAGGCGAAAGTATATATAGAGTCTTGTCTGCTGCCTTGGCTGTGCATCATCACTTGGCACAGGCTACCTTGGTTAAACAGATTAAAAAAATAGGGTTCAGCCTCATTTAGTCTTTGTGGTGGCTTAGTTGTCTTTAAATGTGCAGAGTGGTCACAGCCACCCAGGGCTGGTGTTCAAAAATGCATAATTTGGTTTTGTCCACCTTGGCTGGCTAGATGATGTCAAGACCCTGTTTATATCCAACTTGGTTTAAAACTTTATTTATACAGTAGTATTGGTGGCCAGGCCTGAGTTAACTGCAAAGCTTACACCTTGTCAGGTTCATAGTTTTGAACTGATCAAAAAGATTCTGTCCTGACTTAACCTGGAGAGTGTTGCTTTGCTTTGAAGGAAAAGTTGCTATCTAATAAATCTTTCCATCAAATAAAACTCTGTCATCTTTTGATTTTTAGTGTTCGGGGGATACCAGAGGTTCTCCCACTTGAGGCATCGAGACTGAAGTTTGTTCTCTAAGTCATACAGGTTAAATACAGAACAAGTCTGATGTTCCTGAGGACAGGCTGTACGTCCTTCAGTACCTTGGTATAATTAGGTACCTCCATGAAGATCTGGATCTTCTCTCACATTTTGTAGAGGACAATGTATCCTTGCTTTTCTATACCGAAGATGTTTTGATCCTGTGTTTGTGATGTCAGAGTGCTGGAGAAAATGCTAATGGAAGCAGGATTTTAAATAGAGGGTAGAGGAAGATTAGCCCTGGTGGAATTGCGTTTGAAGAACTGTAAGTAACAATACAGTCCTTATCTATATTCTTGGGCTTTTAGGCTCCATCTACTGTAAAATTGATGGCTTAATCATGGTGATGTGTGTTGGGGGTGGCATTTATGCACATGCTAATCATTTTTTAGGTGTAAGAGAATGTTTGTTTATTATCTGTCTTGTGATTATGGAGGTGCAGTTTTAATTCAGTAAGATTCTGCTAACATTTTCAAAATGTGTTTGCTTTAGCTTAAAATGGCCCTGAGTTCCCTGTCACGTTGGTCTGAAAGTGGAGGGGAAAGTGGATTCAAGTGTTTCCTGTTAGATCAAATCAAGCACTGTTCAGAGGGTTGGTGGAATGTTCTGAGCATTCCTGAAGGTCATTGTCTGAATATGTCAGATGATCTTATTGCTGGAGTAATTTAAATAGATTGGAAACATTTGAAAATATACTGTAGAGAACAATTTTATATTGGCAGGCAAGTAAACTTGTTTGCCTAATGATTATTTCAAGCACTTCCATATATTCTTACGGCTAGAGATGCTTAAAAAGCTTGAGCCCTCATCAGAGGCAGGATTAGCATGTTTTCTGTGGGTTTTTTTGCTTCCCATTCCCAAATTAACAGAGGTGGGTCGTTGGATAGTATGTTCTCTAAAAGGGCCTTTAGTGTGGTGCTAATTCTTGCTGTAATATGGTAAAAACATTAACAGTGGGCTAGGAAGGGCGGTGGGAGGTGGTTTTGTAGAAATAAGTATATTGGGGAAGCCCTAGTATGAACAGCTTTGTTCCTGGTATATTAAGTAGTATGCCCCCTAAAATTAATCTGGGCGATTTTTTTTTTTTCCTGACATGGTAGATAAAGTGTGGCTGGCCAGACTACACTCAGTTCTCAATACCTTAAGTGTCAGTGATGTTGAAAGTGGTATTAACATCCTACCATTGGTAGGCGATAGAGTCCATTTGTGACACTGTCAATATAGATGGCTGTTATTTTACTAATACCATTGTTCTTAGGTATTCTCTCTGGTGTTACTAGCTTAGCAGTATTATCACTACCTGTGTTAAGTGTATGGTTTGGAGATTTTCTATTTTGTGATCCTGATTAAATTTGAGGGTAAAAATGAAGTTGCAGTATCTGTGGGCATGTAAATGCTTTCTTTAAAAAAATCTTGATGATATTTTCATGATCTTGTTATTTGTCCCTTAGGAAGATAAAAGGAGCTAGTGTAATTGGAATAAAATGTCACAAACTAAAGTGGTAATACCCTTGTGTTCCTTTAACATGTTTTTAAATGCAATTTTCCAGTGCCTCAAAATCAGATAGCAGTTAAGAGTTGATTGTGTTGTGATAAGATTTAAACCTGCCGAGACTTTCATCTTTCTAATGGGAAGATAAGCCTATTTTGGTGTGAAGTCTTAGTGTTCGAGTCCTGCTTGCAGTAACAAATACAAATGATAAACGAGGCAGAAAGAGAGAAATGGGTCCTTTATACAGAGATTCCAATATCTCATCCTGTCAGATGTGAGAGAGGAAACTTCCCTGTGTGGACTGTTAGAAAACTAGTTTCTTGTAACATTTCCTTTAACTATGCAACTGATGGTTGTGTGATGAGAAAATAGGTGTTGTGGTGATTTTATTTTTTTTTTTCCTTTTTGAAGCCAAAAACAGTTGTTTTTTGGAAAGCAATTTACTGCTCCCTCATTCAAGAACCACTTGCTTGTTCATTGTTTAATCTACCTGGGGCTAAAAAGACCAGGTCTCTTGCGACTACATAGGGGAGCCAAAGGAAGAATTCATAAAATAGCAACCTGAGCAAATCCTTCATTGCCCCTTTCATCTGGTAACATTTACAAGAAACTGAGGCTGAACAGCAACATCCTTGTTTAGGTTACACATACTGCTAATATTTAGCAGTGTAGTGGAACTTAATGCAATGGAACTGAGAGTCTTTGGCTACTTTGAGCAAGATTTCATGACTAACATCAGCCCATGTTTTAGACTCCAGTATACTGTGTTCAGGCTGTTCCAGATCTCAGATTGCTTCTGTTTTAGTAGTTAGAACAATGCACCCAGAATATTAAAGATGCATTTTATTCTGGAAGCTGTTGTGACAGGTAATGACTTGTTGAATGGCATGTAATAGATCTATTGGGGAGACAGTACAGCTGGTTGGTATCTTTAAGAATTGGAGTATCTGAATTGGTCTTCTACCTTAAATTATTCAGATGAGAAATTGCATTGAAGGAAGAATGTATGAGTGAAGTGTGTTGCTCTAAAAAGGGACTAGGAGCAGAAGAAACTTTGCATATAAAACTATTTAAAACATATGGCCATTGAACGATGTGAGTTAAGTGAGGTTAGGTATAATTTTAGCAGTGCTGCTAGTGATGTTACAGTAGAAATCTTTATTAAAATGTTTCAAATCAAGTTATGGGCAGAAGCACAGTAAACGTATTTAAACTTAATCCACGGTAATAAGTGAATAAATTGCTAGTCTAGCAAACGATTTGAAAAAATCAGAAAAGGTTTCTTTAGTATGTTGTGAAAAAGGAAGTTGTCATAAAGAGCTAGCCTGGTTACAAAAAAAAAAAAAAATGCTTCAAGGTTTTACTGTCCTTGGTGTCGTCATAGACAGTCTGAACCCTGTCAAAATATTGTAATTACCTTTGTGATATTTCTTGATGAGCCATCGTGATAGAAATAGAGCATTTCCATTTATCTATCTACTCATTTACATTGGTTGGAGGAAAATTGATGTCAGGCCATCCTCAAAAATCTCACTGCATGTTGGACTAGCGTGCTACAGAAAATATTCAAGTCCTTTGGTCCATCGGGCACCTCTCGTTATTCCATGTTAAACATTTTACTGGTTATGCAGGCTATGTATCAGTCATGTTTAAACAACATCTTGTTACTTGTGCTTTTTGCTTTCTACTTGTTTCTGCAGTGCAATAGCACTGCTAAACTTGTGTTGACAAGTTAATTCCAAGACGGCAAACTCTTGTAAGTTTGGCAGAAGGCAGGGCGGAGTGGCACCCTTTAGACCGGTGGTGGATAAAATATGGCCCACACACTGCATCTGGCCTGCAGAGGGATTTTGTCCATCCCACAGCAGGTTCCTTGATCCTGCCTTGGCCAGGTGCTGTGGTATGTCCCATTTTCCCCTGGACATGCAGCGGGGCTAAGAAGCCCTATGCAGCCCAGGGAGTGATAGCTCCTTCTAGTTGCTGCTGCTGCTGACCCCAGGCCTGTGATACCAGTGGGGATCTGCGTGCACAGCCCTGACCCCGGCCCACCCCATGTCCGCTCCAGACTCGACTTGGCGGAGCGGACCAGGTGGAACCCATATGAACAGCCCCGACCTGGCTCACTCCGCACCTGCTCTAGAGTAAACAGTGGCAGAGGCTGGGCAGAAGTTGCTGCTCCGCGTGTGGGGAAAGCAGCCCATCCCCTTTGCTACTGCTGGACTCTTTTTGCTGCAGCTGCCTAAAGCCTGCAGCCGGGCTGCCCTGCAGCTCCTCTGCATTGCCACTACTGCCCCACTGGGTGGCCCAGAGGCAGCAGTGACAGTGGCAGAGAGGAGCTGCAGGGTGGCATGGGCTCCGGGCGGCTGCAGCAAGAAGGTCCCAGTAGTGGTTAGAGGGAGGGGGTGCTTTTCTCCTGTGTGGAGTTTCAGCTTCTGCCCAGCCACTGCCGTTGCTCAGTATGGGTGGACAGTCCAGAGTAGGTGTGGGGTGGGCTGGGGTTGGAGCTGTGTGCACGGTTTCAGGCTGTTCCGCTCTGGCTGGGGAGAGTCCAGAGCAGGTGCAGGGCGGGCAAGGGTCAGAGCTGAGGCTGCGCACTGTTGGCGGTGGTGGGGAGGAGCCGCAGGGTGCACAGGCTCCTGGCTGTGGTGGGGGCTGGGGTGCTGACCAGCCTGCGGTAGGTCCCCAAAACTGCCTATGTCGGTTGCAGACCCAAATAATTGCCCACCCCTGCTTTAGACTAATTTTTTTATGGAGGCATAAGATTTTGTAAGACTTTATGAGATGCTGTATATAACAGAGCAGATTGGAGATTGTAATGATGGGGTGGGGTGAGGGGGAAGCTGTATGATTATGTGAGTAAAGGCCTTTATGTAAACATAGCTGAAATGGGAGTGAGAAGCAGGACTAGTTAAATAAGTGCCTGTCTTCATAAACAGTCTTTTATAACTTTTTCCAATGTACAGGAAATACCCGTGGGCTACAGAATCATGCTCCTTCTCTTTAGTTCAGTAAAGTTTGTTCCCTCTTTAGCCCAGTAGAGCATGTTTCCTCTCTTTAGCTCAGAACCTCTCCCTGACTAAGATCCATTTCCACATCCTGACTGTTTTCAATTCCATCCTCCGATAATAACTAATTCATTGCCTTAGCACATTGAAATTGACGTGCAAACTTACAAGTAATTTTTTAGTACTTGGTTGGAGAGTATGTAGTGCTCGTGTCATTGAAATTGGTTAATGGCCTTCCTTGGGATGGGAGAAATGCCCAAAGCCAAGTTATGACTCAATTAGCTGTCCGTATTATTTGAAAAAAAATGGGTCCGTCACAGTGATCAGTTAGGAGGCAGGGTAGATTTGCACCTTTATAGACTAGAATTTCTCAACCTGTTCGTCAGACGAAAGAGTCATGAACCAGTTTAAAAAATGGATCAACAAGCTTTAAAAATGGATTCTCCTTTAAAGGAGAAAAACAGGTGGCTTTTCCCTTGCAGGCCAACAGATTTCCAGCCTGCAAGGGGCTGCTTGGGACCCCCCATTCCCTATACCCCCCCCACTTCCTGCCCTACACACTGGGGGGCTGGGGCCTGGTGTGGGGACATCAGGTCAAAAGTGAGGGACACTGGGTCAGGACTGATCACTGATGTTTACAGATGGGTCTTGGAACAAAAAAGGTTGAGAGCCACTGTTATAGGTTAACCAAAGTAGATGGATATATATAGAGAGATGTTTGTGTGCACACATCCCCCCCCCCCAAATAACTGTGTAGAAAGCAGAGTA